TTTGGGGACATCCCCATTCTCAGGCCCCCTTCCTCCAGCTTATCTTTACACCTCACCTCCCCTCCCCTCCCAGGACTCCAGACTCCTCCAGCCACTCACACTACAAATAATTGACCACAAGTTTCCTACCAGTCTGCTGAGGAAGGAAAACCAGGCCAGACCCAAACCCTTATACATCACACCACTCCCTCCCTTTCCACACCACCCTTCAGACTGGCTTCTGCCCAAAAAGATTTGTTTTGGTGCTCAAGTTTTCTTCCCTGCCATTGTACCTCCAGAAACAAGCTGTCCCTCCCAAGTCCTTGCTCATTTTTAAATGTGTGAAGTTCTTTTGGCAAGACAACCACCTCAGTTTTTCACCTCCAGCTTATTTGCTGGCAGCCCCCTGTCCATTCTTTACAAACACAAGAAGTGTTCAGATTGATCACATTTTGATATGGAATTCTCTTTGTTCAGTAACATGCCCAAACATGAATAAATGTGAAGGAAAAGAACTGTTTCACATAATTACAGAAAATTCTCTTCCTGTTAAATCCTGTTATTTTCACAAAGACAGAGATTGTTTGGATCGAGGAAGGGAGGTCAGGTTCAGATCCTGGGGAGAGTGGTGTGTAGTGATAATAACATTTAGGATTTTTGCAGCATTCCTTATCCAGAGATCTGAGCCCTGTCTCCAGTACATTACAACAGCAGGATATGTTATCTTATGCAAACTCCTTCTTAAATTTCACAATAGCTGTAACAAGCAGGAATCATTAAATTCATGTGGCTGAAAAACAGCCACAGAGCTCCTTCTTTACTTTGTTTTTATCTAAATAAAGTGAAACACAGTCAGATCTGAGGCATTAGTCCTCTTCACTACCAAGTATCTACATTATTCTTAATGGTATATAAATACTAAAAGTAATAAAGAAAAGGGGGAAACCAGAAACAAGTATCTGAGCTCTCCTCCTTTAAGCAAGTTACCCAGTTGCAAGCCCTACAAATGCTCAGTTGCCCTTTTACTACATCTGGTTCAAAGGCCACTAAAAATGGGATTCTTTGCACTGACATCAAAGGGCTCTGAATGCGGCTGTCTGAAACACGAGGGGAGACGAGATTAACTTCAGCTTTCTGCCTATAGAACTCCAGCAAAAAGTTACAAATAATAATCAGAAGATAAGGTTTTCTTGAGAACCTACTGATTTCAGCACATTTTTCCAATGTCAGCTACCACTGTGAAGTTGCTTGCTTTGTGAGAGTGATGCAGAGTGTGCTACTAAACACAGTGTCTGCAGCTTAATATAACCTTTCCTTTCAATAACACTAAAAACCACGGTGACTAAGAAGGAAGCAAGAGGGTGGGAAAAGAGATATGAATGGTTTATAAAGCACTAGACTGGTTGTCTTTATTTAGTACCATATCTGTATTGATCAGGCTTTCCTCCTGGCCTGCTGTAAGAAGAGGCATCAGTGCCAAAAAATCCTGCACTGCTGCTGAAACCTTACCCTACCTTTTAACTACAGGCTTTATTACCCGTGTAAATACATCCTAGGAACTCAGCTTTTAAAGTGGTTTCTCTCAGTAACCAACTTTCCTTAAACACATCTGGAACTTCTTTGTAACTCACAACTGCTTGGTGTAGTCACCTGTATGATGAAGGTTAAATGCTGTGGAATTACTGCTGGGGGCTCTGATTGCCCCACCACCACAGGAGTGGATGTATAAAGCAGGGATACAAGGGGCAGAGGAGTCCTAAACAAACCCAAGATTATGTTCCTAATTGAAATGGCAGCCCAGGGTTTTCACATATAAAATCTGGAATCTGAGCTTACTTTCCTTAACATCATCTGTTTCAGCTGCTCCACATTCCAGGACTCCTTCAGCCTTGACCTCATCCCTGAGATTATTCTCCCTCCAGTCAATTAGAAGTTCTCAAATACACAAAATTTATACCCAGCAACGAGGCAGATCTGCTGATTGTCTTTCTTCAGCTGCCTGGGTGGCCCTAAGAATGAGGAAGTGTCCCAGGACTGGGGAATTCCCATTGTCTGTGGAGAGAAGAGCCTGCGCTCACAGCACTGCCAGCCTGGGCTGCACAAGGGCAGGAAGGGATGTGCTGGAATTGGGAATACTGAAGGTATAAAGAGAAGGATGAATTCTACACGTTTTGTCCAAGACTCTCAAGATTTAGGCAAAGTACCCATCAACCCTAAAGATCTTGAAACTGGGAAAGAAAAAGGAATCTATGAAGTTAAAACAATTTTAAAGGAAAAGCTGAAAAATACTATGAATTAAATCTGTTGGCTTCAAGGATACTATTCCTTTTTTTTTACTAAATGAAAACATAATCATTAAATAGATTTACAAAACTATTTTGCATCATGTATGACTATCACTGACAATGGTATCCAGATACCTTTTATTTCTTATCCCAAAGCAAAACAGAGATTGGGTTTTAAAAATGTATTTGTTGATATTTCCTTAACCAGCTTTCTTGTTTTGAGAGAGCTGTATTTATGAAACAGAAAGTTCTCAAGTAACTAGGTAATATATGATCCAAACAACTTGATAATCAATGCAAATGAGAATCAGGCCTGCAGTACCAGGAGTATTAATTCGTTTGATGAGGTTATCTTTCTTCCTGTAGAGAGTCTATGCCTTATCTTCTTCTAAAGCTTACATGAGGTCATTTGGCCAAACCCTCGCCCTTAATTTCTGAACCCTGGTAGCTGATTTAAGAATATATTTTATTACTCCTTTTGTTTGCACAGCACTGGGTGCTGATATGGTCTCCCCTGGCTCTTCAGAGATTAAACAGCACATGGAAGGAAAAGTACAGCAGTGTAGAAGATGCCTTCAAAATTTCATGTAGAAAGCAGAATACTTTTTAGGAAAATGTTAAATCAGTTCACACACAACACAACTTTTGTTGTTGACATATCTATATGTATGATACAGTTGTATATTTCTCGTTTCTATGATAAATTTGCACCATTATTATAAAAATGAATAACTGTTGCAATAACAAAAATGAAATTAATCAATCAGAATGTAGAATAATGTCATTATTACTTATAATACCTGCAACATGTAATCGCTTCCCACTCACTCAGTGTTCTGTTAAACAGTAACTGCACAATAAATCTTTTTTTTTCTTTTCCTGATAATTAAAACATAACACATGAAACATAAACACATAAAACATAAACACAATCATAAGCAATTGTCAAAACCAATTCTGTATCCAACAGCACGAGAGCACGGTATCTAGAACTTCCTGATATAAATCAAATAACTTTTTCTAGATATATAAGAAATGGGAATAACTTCAAACCAATTCCTTTTCTCAGAGATGTTTTGTCACAATATTTTTCAAAACAGAGCACACATAGAACTGTGAGGCTGAACTGTAACTCTGCTGATGCTTGGGGAGCACGACTTGAACACACAGCCCAGCAAAACAAAGGGTACAAACATTCAGGCCACTGCAGTTCCTCATCCCTAAAGGTGAGCAAGCACTTCTTTCCCAGCTCAAGCATGAACTTCAATATACTGTTGAATTTAGTAATTTACAGGGGTTTTACTCCCCCCTGTATTAATTATGAGAACATCTTGTCATTTGCACAAATTGTATGAAATAAGAGCAATTGAGATTTCCACAGAGAGCTGTGAGCTCACTGGAGCCTGTTGCCCTGCCTGGGGACCATCGTGCTTTTGTGACCAGCTGGGAATATGTCCACTACAAAACCCTCAATCTTCAGGCACTGACAAAAGGCAAGGCTTGACAAGCTGACAAAACATGACATCTTAATGAGGTTTCTTTGCAAGTGTTACTGGATAGTCCACATCAGAAGCTGCAGTCGGGGGCAGGGCTGGAGAAGAATGTGTAGACAACAGTGTTCCTCACTTGAGTAACTCCTGGGTGATCCTCCAATCAGTTTTCTACTTGCAAACCAGGTGTTAGTACAAGTGTTAAATTGGCATGAAACATAAAAGAAATTTTGACTACAGATCTTTCTGTTAATACTGAAACATTGATAAATTAAACATTAGAATTTAATTTAAAATATTCACAATTAAGTTTGCAACCTTTCTCCATGTGCTTTTCCCATAACAGGATGTACTACACAAACTACTGCAAGGAAAGATATAGCCAATTACCTTAAACCCTTACCTATTATCACTTAATAGCTGATAAGATAGAAAATGGGGCCACAGGCTGGAGTGTTCTTCTAGACTCAGCTATCAGGCAAATACAAAATTTGTCTTAAGTGTTTCACTCTAGGTGGGTTTGCCTGCAAAGAGGTGCTCACAGATAAGTAGGGAAAAGAAAGTATTAATAAATTAATGACTCAGTTTCACCCAGGGAAATCAGTGGCAGAGTCTCGGGGGAAAAAGAAATTTAAAAAGCCCCAAACAACTCTCAAACCTGTAGTTCAGTTTTGACTCAAAAATCTGCGTTTTTATCACACAAGCGATTCCTCCTGGACTCGGACACGGAGCAGCAACAGGATCAGGTCATTTAAAAGCGCTGAACTCAGAGCAGCGCAGCAGGCTGTGCCTCCCCGGCGCTCCCGGGAGGATGTGCTGCCCTATCCGTGCTTTACCTGCCGGGGGGAGCGGGGGCGGTGCGGGGCCGTGCCCGCCCCCGGCCCGAGCCCCGGGGGAGGCCGGCAGCTGTCGGCGGGTGGGAGGCGTCTGCAGCTGGAAAACAGCAGCTCCGCTTGCTGATCAGATTTGGGGGTGGGGTGGGAGGTGTGTGTGGGAAAAGCCGAGCCATGGATCTTCCCTTCTTTTGACAACACTCTCCCCTTCAGGACTAAGTTTGCACTGGAGGAAAATAACTGCGAGGGAGAAGAGCTAATCACACCTCCGTGTGGGAGCTGGCTCCCGGGAGCAGCGTGTGCCGCCAGCCCCAGGATATTCCCTGCCTCCAACCTGAAGTGATTCCTCCTGGAACGATTCAGTCCTGCAGTTCACCTTTGCCTGCAGTTAACCAGCGTGCAATTTGGGTTTAATGGAGCTGGGTTTATTGTTCCTCTTTGGACTTACGATTACGTCGACTGCAGGTAACGTGAATTTCTTTCTTTCTTTGCCCACTTCTACGTATGCACACAAAGAAAGGCTGGGTGGGTTTTTTCTGCTTGCCTTTTCTTTCCAC